TTGAAATTTGATTTTGGTGCTTCCTTTCTCATTTCCACCATTATAGGCTCATTCCCCTCGAGTTTCTCTCAAGTTTTGTGAACTTTTCCCGGCTTCGATTTTTTCCTTCATTTTCTCTCTCCTAGGGTTTGACTTTTTCCAAGTTTACCCTTTTTCTCCATTTTTCTTCACTGTCACCCATCTCGCACCTATTTTCAGATGACGGACGAGGTTCCTCATAACGGGGCTCCTCTGGCGGTTCCCCTAGTAGTTCCACCCGCGTCAAAGGTAGAGGGGCCGGCAGCTGATCTTAAGGCTGACTTAGAGGCAAAGTTTGAGCCTGAGGTCGAGCCTGAGTCGCTACCACTAAGGGTACAGCCGTTCGATCTGGCGAGGTATCACCCACAGACACACATACTGCCCACTTCCAGAGGCATTAGACGCTTCACCGAGTTCACCCGCGGTGCACCGGAGGACTTTTTGTTGAGGGAGCCAGAGTCTCACTTATCGGCCATTGCCTTTATCTGATTGTATTTCATGCACTACCTTCATCTGATGCATTATCTTCATTTGCCACAAGGCGAGTCTCGCGCCTTCAGAGGCTATGGTGTTATAACTACTAGAGACTGGTATGACGAGCTCGCAGCTGGAGTTCGAGATATCATCGACAGGGCAGGCATTGGCCTTTTTTGCTCTGGCTTGACTCGGGTTGTCGCGAGTCATCCCCTCCTAGGAGCGCTGGTGGAGAGGTAGTGGGATACCATAAACTCCTTCCACTTTTTCACCGTAGGGGAGATGACGATGACTCCTTACGACTTTGCCATGATCACCGGCTTAGATGTAAGGGGCAATCTGATCCCTATTGACACAGATATAGAGGAGTGAGAGGCAGCCTGGTTCGAGCTGCTAGGGGCATACCCATCCATATACTGGATGGGGATAGTGAGATATAATTGGTTCGCAGAGTGATTTAGAGGGACCGAGCCCAAGACGGTAGAGGAGACCGAGCAGTATGCCAGAGGCTTCTTAATGTTCGTCTTCGGTACCACCTTGTTTTTGAACAGGTGGAATACCGTTGGCCTGTATTTGTTGAGCGCCCTGGTGACCCTTCCTCGGGTTAGTTTCTATGACTAGGTGGAGCTAGCCTCACCACACTGTATGGATATATGAGCTCTACCTCCTGTCTGCAGGGAGACCTGATTGGAGGCTATTGGCGAGCCTGGAAGGTACACATCTCAGTTCTCTCTTTGTACTTTATGTTTACTTTACAGTTTCTGCTTTACATCTATTTCAATACATGCTTTATGCTTCGCATTTCTATATCTGCTCAAACACTATTCATACACTATGCTTTCTATTTTGCACTTTCTGCATTTGCTCGATACTGTACTAATCACACACCACTGCATTTTTCCTGCAGCTATGGGTATACGCATACTTCTCGGCTCTCACCCCGAAGCCTGTAGTGGAGCTTCCATTGACGGTACCCTATTCGCGAGTATATAACGGTCAGCTTCGCCGTAGGACTCACGAGCCTTTTACATTCTTCAAGTCGTACTTCAACACAATAGGCGCCCACGAGGTAATCTGAAACATAACTATTCTGCTTTCCGCATTTGGCAACTGACAACAACTAATAATCTATACAACTTCTGTTTGCAGATCACGTGGCAGCCTTGGGCCTTGATGCTTGGGGGTGCGGGGTCAGTTTGCCGGCTCCTTGGCCGTCTCCCGCTATCATATTCTACTTGAGGGTCCGGTCTGCCGGGCCTGGTTCTTGGGTGAGCGCTTCCTGCACCAGATTATGGGTGTGCCGGACCCGGTCGTCCCGATGGCTCTATCAGAGTCCATGCGGTCCACAGAGAGCCTATCAGTTAAGGAGGTCATCCAGTTCATGGTGGGTCTCGACGTTGACTTTTTTCCAGCAAAGGGCGACCATGCAGATTTCATCTTGACATACTTGATGCCTCCCTTGACGAGTGTTTGTGGAGATGAGGAGGCGGGGGCTCCTGCCACGAGAGCGAGGTGCAGAGTGACTCGAGCGAGCAGGGCCCGTGACAGGGGGGCTTCCCGAGCGGGGCGAAGGGCTGATTGGCCAGAGCTCCCCACCACGTTGACTTGCTGGCGATACATAGAGGAGGCCTACCAGATCCTGATTGAGCCCGCAGCAGCTGGTCATGAGCTTGTTGGGATCCGAGGCCCGACTCTGGTATGAACCATACTTTAGCACTTGCACTCCAAATTTCACTTCAGATATATCTATGGCAGATACTAATCATTCAAATACATTTGCAAGCACTGATTGAGTACACAGGAGGCGCTCTCGAGCTGATAGCCTCATTGATGGGGATGATATAGAGGAGAGAGACGCTGCTTAGCCTCTACAGTGTTCAGCTAATTTCTTTAGTTTTACATTCCAAGCATCAACTTTCCGCTAACACACTGACATTAACGTTGAAAACTTCCCAAACTGCACTGATACATTGGATTGATAGACCACATCTGACACACTGCACTTGCACACTGTATTCACATACTATATCTGACTTTTGCATATACTCATTATGCATACTATGTTTGCATCTGATACACATGTTATAACTGATAAACAAAAACTGTCTTTTCTAGATCCCACCCATGCCAATGGAACCAGTAGGAGCTACAGCACCTGCACCAGTAGTACCTCCTCCAGTAGCAGGGAGGAGAGAAGAACAGATTTCGGGACGCGGCCGAGCCAGAGCTAGAGGCACCCGAGACGAGAGCGGCCCTTCAGAGCCCATTCCGAGTGATGATGATGTTGAGAAGAGCGACTCTGAGGAGGCAGCGAGTCAGCATTCCGAGTCATCTGAGAGGGGAGATGATGATGCCGGCTCGAGTTCCTAGAGCGAGGGTGATGTCGAGGCGAGCTCCGAGGTAGAGAGCGGAGATGGCTCCAGTTCAGACTCTAGTCCAGATTCAAACAGCGACGCCGACGGAGATAATGCCCTAGAGTCCTCTCCTCCGAGGAAGATGACGAAGAGGGCTTCTCGGGCTTGAGGCATCCAGCGCTGATTTATGTATTTTTGCTTAGTTTCTTTTTGTTTATAGTTTTAGCAAATTGTACAGCTTCAAACAGGTTTTTTTCTTTTTTGAAAACTTGTACCTCACTTTTGTAAAAACAACCATGATCAGAATGAAAACCAGTTTTATTTGAAAAAGTGTTGTATTTTGCATCATGAGCACCGCATTACATGAAAATGAGATTGAATTTGGTACTAAAAACTGAATACTTGTGTGGTGGCCGAATATATTTTGTTACATACGGAGGCCGAATGGATTGAAGAGAGAAACCAAGTTGTGAACTATACGACTCCATCACGGAGGGACAGAGGCTGAGTAACCAGATCAGCAAAATTATTAGCTGTAGACCTGGCCGAGTAAGAACAGTTAGCCGAATGAGGGATTATTCATCAGAAAAAATGTGGGCCCAACCGTGAACATCAAGGACGACTATAAATAAGGAGAGTATCAGCTAACACGAGGTACGTGAGAACAAGTAAGTTTAACTTAAGATATAAGCAACCGAGAGATATATACTAACTTATCCGTCCGAGTGTTAATTCCGGCACCCCCGATCGGAGTGTTCATTCATTTTTAGGTGACTAACAGAGGATCTCGAGCATCCCATTGGTTGCAAAGAGTATTTCCAAACCACTTCTCCACAATTGGCGCCGTCTGTGGGAATACTCCAGCACATCCATGGTGGGCGTAACAGAAGATCCTCCGGTAGTCACTGACGACCTTACGCCGTGAATTGACACCACTCCAAGCAACATTCATGGGCTAGAGAACATTGCCGCACGAAGAGCCTTGAACTTTGACTCAGTTGCCAAAATATGATGGTTGAGAACGAGCGCCTTCGACAGGATTTGGCCTTGGAGGTGGCAAAATCACAACAGGTTGCGCGCCAAGATCCGGAACGACCTCTGAGAAAAGATAGTCGACGATCTCGAATTTGAAGACATGATAGTGGCAATGATTCTGACTCATCATCCCCAGAACCCAAAAGAAAGGGATGAGTTGAAGTCTCCAGTTCCTCCGAAGGGAGTCCGCGTGCACGGAATAAGCGAAGAAGAAATGGTTCAAACGAAGAGGACCAACATGACCCCTTTGTGCAAAGGATCGCAAGGGCAGTACTACCCAAAAAGTTCAAAGCTCCATCGTTCACTCTATATGATGGAAAATCGGATTCCACTGATCACATCCATCATTACAAGCAAGCCATGATGCTACATGCAGACGACGAGGCTCTCATGTGCCGAATATTTTCAAGTAGTTTGGGACCATTGGCCGTCTGATGGTATTATAAGTTGGAACCGGCATCGATCAAGAGCTTCCATCAACTACAGAAATCCTTCAGAGCAAGATTCATCATCAATGAGGTCCAGCCGAAGCAAGCTGATTCTCTCTGGGCAATGCAAATCCAACCAGGGGAAACCTTACGAGTGTATTCGGCGCGCTATTAGGAATGCTTTAATCTCGTGGATGACGCCTGCAATGACTCCATGGCCATCATCGCCTTTAAAATAGGGTTGCATCCTGATAGTGCCCTCCGCAGTTCCTTGACCAGAAGGCCCCCCAAAACAGTCTGGTCGTTAATAAAGAAAGTCGAGGAATACTGCAAAGTGGAGGATGACGCCCTGCGGGTTAAAGCTGGGAAAAAGGCTAACAAGGCTGCCCCATCCGAAATTGTTTAGCCGATAAATTTTGTACCATCGCGTAGCCATGAACCACGAAATCGAACTAAACGAGACAAAATGCGGGATTTGCGTCGATCAAATGACCAGTGTTCCCACCAAGCTAATGAACAACTTCAAGTGGATGGCAGGCGCACAAGGCGCGCGGACAAGAAATATACGGAGTTATTAGAGCTGATCGGCATGGTTATGTCTAAAGTTCAACACCTTCCGTTCCTCAAATGGCCATCCAAAATGGTAGGACCTCCCAACACAAGGAGACGGGATAGGCGGTGCGAATATCACATGGACCACGGTCATGATACCGAGAGCTGCTATGCGTTGAAGGATCACCTTGAGGAATTGGTACAAGACAGTCGGCTTAAGCAATATGTCCGCAAGGACAACTCAACCAAAACAGTGGCTTTACGGCAAGATTCACCTCCACTTGGCGTAATCCATATGATATACGGCTTGCCGACGGCATCCGCGGTACATGCAATTCAGTCGCATCCCAACACCCAAAAGCACATCACACCGGCAAAACGGCCCCATGAAGCTGTAAGTATTACTTTTGATGATTTTGACTTGGTCGGCGTGACGTTCCCCTACATCGACCCCTTGGTTATCGAACTACGCGTAAACCGATTCACCGTTGAGCGTGTTCTCATTGACCATGGGAGTACTTCAGAAGTTATGTACTACAAGACCTTCATCAAACTCTGGCTTACTGAGTCAGACCTATCTCTAGCTCCTTATCAGCTATTCGCCTTCAACGCCAATCCTGAATATCCGCTGGGCAAAATCACATTACTAGTTCGAGCGGGCTCCGGATTAGTGAATGTGGAATTTTTGGTTGTCAAGCTTCCTTTGCTGTATAATCTGATCATGGAATGAACTTGGCTACATACCATGCAGGCTGTGCCAAGCACCTATCATCAATTACTCCGCTTCCCGGTTGAACGCGGTATTGAACAAATTCGCGGCTCCTAGAAATCGGCCCAAGCATGTTATTTTCTTGCTGAAAAGACACCACGTGAGCTACAAGTGAATTCTATTGAGGTTCCAGACAGAGAGAGCCTCGACGATGTTGGGCGGCGTCCAAACAAAAAGGCAACTGAAGCCCTAGATCGAGTTGAAATTGACGGGGATCTAGACAGGTTCTTCGTGGTCGGTGCCTCCCTGAATAAAGTTGACAGGCAGCAGTTAGTTTCCTTCTTACTCGGCAACCTTGATATATTTGCATGGACACCATATGAGATGTCGGGGGTGGATCCATCTATTTCTCAGCACCGTTTAAATGTTGACCCCAAATGCAAGCCGGTTATTCAGAAAAGTCGGAGGTCAACCGCAGAGCACACTGCTACCGTTGTTAAGGAAGTTGACCGGCTGCTTGATGCTGGGGCAATCCGAGAAGTGACCTACCCTAAATGGCTCTCGAATACTGTGGTTATTAAGAAGAAAAATGGGACTTGGCGTGTTTGTGTGGATTTCACCGACTTAAACAAAGCTTGTCCAAAGGATTGCTTCCCCCTTGCCAGAATAGACCAGCTCGTAGATGTCACCGCACATCATCAACGTATGAGCTTCCTGGATGCCTACAGAGGCTACCATCAAATTGCCATGCATCCAGAGGACCAAGACAAAACCACATTCCTCACCCCAAGAGGAACCTATTGCTATAAGGTTATGCCTTTTTGGGCTGAAGAATGCGGGGGCAACTTACCAAAGACTAGTCACTATCATGTTCAAGAAGCAACTCAGCCATACTATGAAAGTGTACATCGACAATATGGTGGTCAAGTCCAAAGAAGAGCAAACTCATCTAGCCGATCTAGAAGAGACATTCGGCATTCTACACAAGTACAAAATGAAACTGAATGCTTCCAAATGTGCATTCGGGATCGGATCCGGAAAATTCCTTGGCTACATTGTCAACCACCGCGGAATCGAAGCCAACTTGAGACAAATCACAGTAATCCTAGAACTCGGCTCTCCTCGGTCTGTCAAGGAGGTTCAAAAGTTGATGGGAATGGCCGCCGCACTCAACAAGTTCATCAATTGTTCCACAGATCGCTGCCGATAATTCTTTCATACTCTACGGCAGGGTAAAGCCTTTGAATGGACTTCTGAGTGCGAAGCCGCTTTGAACAGTTTGAAGAGCTACCTCCGATCAGTTCCACTCTTGACAACACCTTCGGCAGGTGATTCGCTCATTTTATAGCTGGCAGTTTCCGACCAGGCCGTTAGCGCCGTACTCTTAAAGGAAGAACTTGGGGAGCAGCGGCCAATTTATTATGTGGCAAAGCAATGGTTAATGCCGAAACATGTTATCTTCCATTGGAAAAACTTGTCCTTGCTCTCGTCATGGCAGTAAGAAAACTGATGCATTACTTTCAGGGGCATACCATTGTGGTACCAATAGACTACCCCCTCCGGACAGTACTTCGCAGTGCAGAATCATCAAGGCGCATCTCAAAGTGGGCTCTCGAACTCGGTCAGTACGATATTCAATTTCTACCTAGGACCTCAATCAAGTGGCAAGTGCTTGCCGACTTTGTGGCCAAATTCACTAGGAGCCTTGTCAATTTTAAGTCTGATCAGATTCAACCTAAGCCGAACTAGAGAATTTATGTTGGGGACATTTGGCAGATGTATTGTGACGAATCGTCAAACCAACGTGGCTGTGGGGTAGGTGTAGTGATCATGGCTCCTAACGGGGAAATAATCGAGTAGCTCAAACTGGGCTTCGATGTATTGAACAATGAGGTCGAATACGAAGCATTGTTAACCGGCCTACGGAATGCACATCTCCTTGGTGCTCGACGTCTGCTTATCTTCTGTGATTCAAAGCTAGTCATCAACCAATTGAAAGGGGGATACGTAGCCAAAAATGACCGTATGGCCGATTACGTGAAAACGGTGAATTCTTTGCTGGCAAAATTCGACCATCATGAACTAAATCAAATAACTCGGGATCAAAACACACATGTAGATGCCCTAGCCTGCCTAGCCTCCGCCATCAACTCAGAAATCAAACGGAAAATTGAAGTAGGATTCCTCCCTGAGTCGAGCATTGCCCCCTCAGAGTCAATTCAAATTACTGTCATAGAATCAGCTCCAAGTTGGATGGACTCTATCACTGCATTCCTATCTTTTGAACAGCTCCCGGCGGAAAAGAAAGAAGCACACAAACTACGAAACAAAGCTCTGCGATATTACTTGGATCCGCAAGGAAAGCTCTACAAAAAATCCTTTTCTGGTCCATATCTAGAATGCGTTTATCCGAATAAAGTTGAAGAACTCCTGACTGAAATCCATGAAGGTAGTTATGGTGCCCATTCCGGCGGGCGCTCTTTGGCTCATCGAGCCGTGACACAAGGGTATTATTGGCCGACAATGAGAGCTGATGTCGAGTGTCATGTCAAGAAATGTGAACAGTGCCAGAAGTTTTCCCCTTTAACCCATTTGTCTGCTGAAGAGTTAAGTTCTATCACCAATCCTTGGTCGTTCGTCCAATGGGGACTTGACATCGTCGGACCATTACCTCGTGCCCCGAGCAACAAGCGATTTTTGATTATCGCGACAGATTACTTCACAAAATGGGTCGAAGCAGAGGCACTAACGGATATTCGAGATACTGATATTAAGCGTTTTGTATAGAGAAATATCATAACACGATTTGGCATTCCAAGAGCACTTATTTTAGACAATGGCACCCAGTTTGATTGTGACGTCTACCGAGAATTGTGCAGCACGTATGGTATTCGGCCTTATTTCTCTACGCCGGCTTATCCACAGAGCAATGGTCAAGCCGAAGCCTCCAACAAAGCCATCTTGGACGACATCAAGAAGAGGCTGGATAAAGCCAAGGGTAGATGGGTCGAAGAGTTGCTGAGTGTGTTGTGGGCTCATCGCACTACGCTGAGGCGTCCCACTGGGGAAACACCGTTTGCTTTATGCTTTGGAACCCAGGCAATCATCCCCCTGGAGATCGGCCTCCCAACCTTGAAATCAAAAGTTTTTGATATGGACCGAAATGACATGATGTTGGCCTTAGATTTAACTTCAATTGAGGAACGACGAGATCGTGCCCTTACGTCCATGGCACGATACCAACAACAGCTTGCTAAGTCGTATAATCAACGTGTTCAGCTACGCCGCTTTACAATAGGAGAATTGGTCCTCAAGAAAGTACTTCCGGTTGCCAGGAATCCAACTGATGGAAAACTGGGTCCTAACTGGGACAGCCCCTATCAGATCGATTCAATCGCGGGAACAGGGGCATATCGGCTCAAAGACATGTCTGGGAGAAGTCTGCCACGTCCATGGAATTCCACGCATCTGCATAAATTTTATCATTAACCCGATATGTGGGGTATGATGACTTGTTTTGATTGTTCGCCGTGTACAGCTTTCACTTTTATAATAAAAAGACTTCTTTATCTCACTATATGGAATTTTAGTTCGAAGTTAAAAGTCTCTGAATTCGGAGCCCCATCCATGAATGACACGTTTAGGCCGAATAAGCCTCCGGATTCGGAGCACCCTTCGTGCATACCACGATTGGTCAAGTTAAAAGCCTCTGAATTCGGAGCTCCATCCATGAATGACACGTTTGGGCCGAATAAGCCTCCGGATTCGGAGCACCCTTTGTGCATGCCACAATTGGCCAAGTTATAAGCCTCCGAATTTGGAGCCCCATCCATGAATGACACATTTGGGCCGAATAAGCCTCCGGATTCGGAGCGCCCTTCATGCATGCCATAATTAGCCAAGTTAAAAGCCTCCAAATTCGGAGCCCCATCCATGAATGACACGCTTGGGCCGAATAAGCCTCTGGATTTGGAGCGCCCTTCGTGCATGCCACAATTAGCCAAGTTAATAGCCTCCGAATTCGGAGCCCCATCCGTGAATGGCACGTTTGGGTTGAATAAGCCTCCGGATTCGGAGCGCCCTTCGTGCATGCCACGATTAGCCAAGTTATAAGCCTCCGAATTCGGAGCCCTATTCGTGAAGGACACGTTTGGGCCAAATAAGCCTCCGAATTCAGAGAGCCCTTCGTGCATTCCACAATTGGCCAAGTTATTAGCCTCTGAATTCAGAGCTCCATCCGTGAAGGACACGTTTGAGCCGAATAAGCCTACGGATTCGGAGCTGCGCTCCATGATTGGCCAAGTTAAATGCCTCCGAATTCAAATACCCATCTGTGAATGACACGTTTGGGCCGAATAAGTATCCGAATTCGAAGCGCCCCTTGTGGTTCACGATTGGCTAAGTTTGAGCCTCCGAATCTGCAGCCCCATCCATGCAGGACCAAGTAAACATCCAGCTTTGGCACGCTTTTCATGAATATTCTAATTAAACAGACATCAACTCAGTTGAAGGATAGAAAACGATTCTTAACATGCTCAAACACAAATTAAAACAACATGCAACATAAGCGGAAATGACAAGCAAACATGGAAGATAATATGTTTTATTGAATTAATCGACAATATATAATTCGCTCCCAATTTATGTCAGAACGGTACAATATGTTTAATTTTATTCGGCATCCCCCTCATCATCGCTCTTCTCGACTTCGAAGGCCATAAAAGGAAAATGATGACTCTGGTATAATGGCGACGCCGAATCAACGCCTGCTACCCGGAGAGACTCTGTGGCCTGGAGAGCCTTGATCCACCCGTGTTTAAATCCACGGTTCTTATATCGGCAGACCTCCTCGGCGAGCTTTTCCTTCGTCTTGTCTATCCCAACTTTTTGGCCCGCATGAAAGCCTTGTTCATAAGCCTGGGTCTTTGCAGCTTCTATTGCAAACATGCTTGCCGTGTCGCGATAGGCAATCGCGTGACTTATAAGATGCTGGGTCACCCTTTCTTCTACAATCGGGTTAG